GCACGTGCTGGGAACCGGGCCCAGCGTCCCATATGAACATACATCAGTTTGTAACACCGGGGCCATTATCCGGCTTCGGCTGAGAAAAACCTGAGAATAGAATATTCTAATGCTGATGATACTGATGATGCCAGTGATGACAAAAAATGTAGCTACACATGTTGAGTCAGCCATACTAGACACCTAATCCTGAACAACTCCAAGCCCTCCCTTACCAGGATATTGTAACTCTAGAACAAGACAAACCTATCCCCCCACTGCCATAGCTGATCTCTCCTCACTACCTAGCCTAACCCCACCCCATAGGTTGTCAAGGTAGCCCCTCCTGGTTCACCATCGGCTTGCTTTCCTCCCTCAGCAAACCCCAGCTCTCTCTACAAGGCCTCCCACCCCTGCCAATTACAGGTTACAGGGCTATGCCCCAGCTCCGGCCAGCGTTGTTCTGGCATCGGCAATCCAGGAGCACAGAACAAAGCAACTTCAGCAGTTATCAGTCTAGGTTCGATGATCCCTGAATTCATATATCCCAAATAAAGAAGAAGACCAGGTGCTGCCAAGATTGTAGAGCAGAAGGTGGCTGGTTTTGAAGTATTGAACTGTATTGAAATTATCAGATCTTTTTTTGACGCAGCGAGTTTATTAGATCGTGATAAGGATACGCTTCCATTGGTCACAGCTCAAACCAATCCGTACCCACTGTACCCTGTCTCATGCTGCCTCCACCGAGGAAAATCCCTTGGCCCCAACATAAAACAGATCCCCTCCCCTCCCTCCACCACATCCGCGAAGGCAACCAATCCCCTCCTAGAGGCTGCCTTTGGCTATTTCTTATCCCTGTCTGCCCCCGCTGGGGATGAAGGGGACGAACTCTCCAACCCTGGCCCCAGACTCAGACAATCCCCAATCTGCCCTACTCCCAATAGGGCTACTGCCTCCCACCATGCAACACCCCTGTAGAATAAGGCTCCCCTGTAACAGACCCCAGGCTTAATTTTTCGGGGACAGCTAACTAGTRGKYTATACCCACAACTGGSCAGCCCTATCTCTCCTTCCCCTAGCTTACCCAAGGCCAGGCGGAGCCCAGGCTGACAGTCCTACCGTCCTTCCCCTGGCTTGTCCCGTAACTTAGGCCAAACGGATCTCAGACCTGCTGTGAGTAACTACCGTATGTCTGTACCCTGTGGTCTCAAAAGCCCCCTGCCTACCAAAATTCCAGTCGTAACCTCCGAAGTCTTATTCCTACTAAAGCGTCTACAAAATTCAATGTTCAAAATCCCCAATTAGGAAAAGGAAACTCATGAAAAAACAAAATAAAGAAAATTCTCCTCAAGAAGTAAGTAATCAAGAAGTAGGTAATCGGGATATAGGTAATCAAAGTATAGGTAATCTAGATGTAGGTGATCAGGATATCGCTAATCAAGATGTAAACATTAATGACTATTGGATAATTGGG